GGGTCCTCGATCTCGTCCCCGATTCCACCGCCCGCTCTCAGCCCATGGTGCAAGTGGAATATAAAGCACTGCCACATATTCGCACACTTTTGCTGCTCCATCACTGATCCAGGAGGGGCCGCAGCTGTTTCCGATCCAGGATCCGAGGGAGTCACGTGATTCGCGAAGAGGTTCGAGGTATCGTTGGAGAGGAACCCGATGGTGGGGGCGATGACGTCAGCCACAGTTTCGGCTTCTTCGACGTATGAGTCACGGAAGAAGTTAAAAGCCACTACTGTGTATAAATAGATGACAATAGATGTCAAGAGAGCCGTCAGTACCAGCTGAAACACATCAGAACTGATATAATTCAGGAATCTACAACTGGACCTAAAATCAATGATTGATAGAAAGCTCGCTTCGCGTAGACAACATTTGCGCTGCCAGAACTGGTTCATCAAAGACGGAAAAACTCAGAAACACCTCGTCAAACTTTTTTTCAAAGCAGATGTTTTTAAAGTGGTGTTTAATGCCGATATAGGTAGACTGGTACATAACTGGGATCTTTCTAACTGTTCGCCCTGCGTATTCAGACACGTCAGTATTTAGACAAATACTTTTTAACCAATCAGAATTGAGACAAGGAAGAAATTAATAAATAATTATTATTTATTTTGGATTATTTATGACTTATCTCGATTCTGATTGGTTCATACAGTATTTGTCTAAATACTGACGAGTATGAATACGCAATTGTCTAAATACAGACCGCACTCCAATTCTATCCCCCCACCTGTTTTCCGTTGTGTGTGACGGAGCGCAGTATGGCGGAGAGGTCTTTGTTTCCGAATGCGATGTCCATGAGGTGGATGGCGAAGAAGAAGCGGGAGAAGTTGCCGGCTATGGAGAAGAGGAAGTAGAAGAAGATGTAGAGGAACGCCTGGTCACTGAAGATCACCCCCAGCTTCCACAAGTTGTACTCGTAGTCGTCTAAAACACACACAAACACAACAAATTTAGAATCGAGAGTAAGCTATTAAAGCAAAAATAATATCGCCACGCCGCAAAAAAAAACACACAAAATTTGTTGAATTCCTACTGATAGATACAATTCGAACAAACAAAAATTTGCCAAGTTTTGAAAAAAAAACATTATATACAGTAACTTTAGACTTTACTCACAATTTGCAAAATATCCAGAGCTGTTCGACGTTCCAGTGCCACCAGAAGCCCCCTCGGCAGCAGAAGTTGCTGGAGCGTCTTGCATTCCAAGAATCGTGTCTATGACTTCATCTCCTACAGCTTCGCTGTACTTGCTCTTGGCACGTTTCTTCACAAACTTGTCCCAGAAGTTCACCGGAAAAGACCTAAAGTTCACACTTTCAGAAACATTTCGCCATACTTTTGACAAAAAAGAAAAAATGTTCGAGACTTTTCGCGTTTTTGACAAATTCTTCGTTTAAAAGCTCTTTTTAAATGTCTTCATAAAACGTCTTTCAAGAGAAAAACACTTTTCGGTCCAACTGAATCTAACAAATGAACTATTTCAACGCTGTCAAAGGAATTCGATTTGCTTAAGTCGGATTCAATATGAAAATGTTCCATGGAACTACTTATCAATAAATCCTGACTTGTATTATCGCTTTTTCGGATCGCAACATTTGGGTCTCCATGGGGTCAAATAAACTGACCTGGAGCTGATAACAACACGATCTAGTTTGGCCCGTAAGTCGCTCCACTCTGGCTGCGTGGTGAGGTAGAGTCCCTCGAACTCCAGCTTTCGCGACACTTCTTTCTCTCGCTGGAAGATCACCAGTGGCACCTGATGTAAAAAATATAACAAAAATCAGCTCAAATTGAGGCACTTGTCCAGCCATTATGTCCAGCCATTATGAGGCACTTGTCCAGCCAGACTCTAACTAAATCAATAGCCTCTCGGTCTCCACGATATAAATCTAAGTTAGCCCCCGTCTCTGAAAATTACGCTATTTTGTGAACATTTCTTAACAGATGCAGATCTTGCGCTAATCTTTAAAAAAACCGAACATTCTGTTGATCTAATCTAAAACTTGATCAATATTTTTTGATTTAATCAACATTTTTTGATCAACAAAATTGATTTATGAGCACTCCCAAAAGAAAAGCCATCAAAGACCCCGATGAAAATTTTTCGACGCTTTAAGGCACTATTTTGAAAACTCTGACTTCAAATTTAATATGCTCTTCCAACCAATTAAAAACTTATTGGTGCCGAATTCACGTTTAGATTGCTGTTGTAAAATAGTAACAGAACAAATAAATCTTTTGGGCAGTGGCGTGCGCAGAAACTTTTCTGGAGGGGAGCGCTTTTTAAAAAAAAATGTTTGAAAATTTTGAGGGCCTTTTTTCGGTCGATCAATAGATTTGATTTTCCGAACTATCCAAAAATACAATAAGAACTTACTTTGCCAAAAATTTTCTGCGCCGCAGGCAAAATTTTCAAAAAAAACGGGCCAAAAATTTGCAACATTTCGACTAAAAAAATTGCGTTTTTTCGGCGCGCACTCCCCCCTCAAAACTAGTTTTTAAGATCATTTATCCACGAGGGATAGGACCAACATACGAGCTGTACAGCTCATCACGGCGAACCGCTGTTGTGCCCCAAAGGCGTCCTTAGACAATTTTTGTCCTTTGTCATCCAAGAATGAATGTAGGAAAGTTATACCAAAGGGAGGACCCTTTGGAAAAATTTGGCTACCAGAATTTGAGTTGTTTCACTTGGCTAAAGATTCTGCGCCCAAAAGTTTCTGAACGTGAACTTAAGAAAACTTTCAGGGTTGGCCGACCAGAATTGATTGACGTACAATGGAACCAAATTAGACGTATTGGAAGAATTTGGTAGCCAAAATTAAGAGGGTGGAAAGGGTCGACTTTGAGGGAAGAAATTGAGTTCAAAACTAATCAACCGTGTATTGGATTTCTCAAAGACAATTATTTTATTAATACCTTTCATAGGAAAAACGGTCTAAATGTTCTGGTTTTAAAATACACTAAATAAAATAAAAGCTCCCGTATCAAGCAAAGCTTGGAAGGTTTCCATTTTCCTTTGAAATATCGGGGGGAAAAATCATAGTTTTGTAAAAGAAAAAATTGATTTTTCTTTTTTATGTAAATCTGGTAATGAAAATTGAAATTAGTTGCATCTACTATTAAATAACATGCTCAAATTGTTTCAATAATTGATGAGTAAATTTTCAGACCCCCGTAAGTTGTAAAAAAAATGACAGATGGGGGCAGTCGAAATATCCGGCCTGATATGAGCTGTCGTGTTTTTCTGTGTCAATTTTTTTGGAAATTAGTTTCTGAGTGTGCTCCTCTCTGAAAGGAGTGAAGAAGGATAGAACTCACTTTGAGTTTGTAGTAAGCAAGCAGAATGAGGAGTGCAATGAATGCGTGAAGAACAGAAAGACACACGAGCACAGGTTCCAGGAAGGCCACGTCATCGTCCATGATGACCACCTGGACAGGTTCCAGTCCCTCTGCCACACCTCCTGCTTCCTCGGAGGGGGGAGCAGAAGAGTCGGAGTCGACGTCGTTTTCGGGCATGTAGACCGTGATCTAAACAGCCGAGATGAAATCAGAGTCAGAAGAAACAGCCGAACAGAATTCAGATAAATCGGGCGTTGTTTAATGAGCAATAACCATAAATACACAGTTCTTCTTATTCTAAGCGGCAAGTGAAGATCTATGACTTGGTTTGCAAAAAACTTGTGGGAAAATTTGAAAAGATTATTAAAACAAAATCACTGAGACGAGTTCGAATTGAATTTTCGCAAAAAATTTGAAGGGTCTAAAATTGTTTACTTGTCGTTTTTGAATACTTCTTGAATGTTGTTTTGATAACAAAATTGCGGATTTTAAGGCGTGGTCTCAATCATATTTTGTACTCATTAGATCTGAATGAGGGTATTCGGAGACTAATCGGGGCCACGAACTAGTGCAGAGAGTAAAAATTTTAAGCGTGAGGCTGGTAAAAAAATGTTATGAATGAGTTATAATTTATGACTCACGCGACAGAAGAGGAGAATGATGTTGATGAAGAAGGAAAGGATGGCGCCTGTCGTCTTGATGCGGTAATAGTTGCGAGCCAGAAAGCACTAGAGCCAAATAAAAACCAGACTTAATTTAAGGAACTCATTTTGATGTATAATATTCTGAGTCTGCATTTCTTGATTCTATTTCCCAGCAAAAAAGACGTACAAATAATCATCCAGACATAACGATATATAATGAACAAACTCAAATATACAAACGAATATAGTTATTTGATTTTAGTTATTTGGTTTTTTGGTGAATTTGCAAAAAGTAGGTACACAGAGTGTTGATTTTAAGCGGGGATGTCGCGGTTTTTAAGCAGCAATTTGAAAGGTTTGTCAAAAAGAGTTTTTGAAGGGGGTAAATAGTAGGAATTCGAAAGGGTTTTTCAAGGGGGAAGGGGGGGACTAAGAAGTGGTGAGCTTTACCATGAGTCTGTTGGGTAGGGATCTCTGGTTCTTGCTGGCTTTTGATGCGGCCGCAGCTGCCTCCGACTGCTGCTTGGACTGGGTGGTAGAGGCGAAGTTGTTGCTGTAGTCGAACACCTGTTCCGCCCCTTCCTCCTTCCGCGTACTCAGCCAAGTGCTGCAAAAAAAGCAAAGAACTAATCGCAATCATTTCTTGAAGCTTTTCTGAATGTGGAGGCTTTATCGATCTCTGCTTAGAGAAATGGTTTCAATCAGTTTTTGTTCCGACCATTTTAGTTTCACCATCTTCATAGGAAGCTTTTTTGTGAGGATCATATTTGATATCGTATTGAAGCCTTTTTACTTGTAACTTTGAGTTTTTTTAAAAAAAAAAAGAGAATGAAATATTCCGGCAACGAAAAAAAAACGGTGTGGTTATCTATTACACAGACTCAAAGTTAGTAATACTGATGGGAAAAGACTTGTTCACTAAGCTGAACTCGGTTTAGAGTTGTAAAATTAAATAGGTAAATAAAAATAATACTAACATGCTTAACACGGGTTAATGTATCTTTGCGTTTTCCAGCAGAACGTTCTTTCTTTTTTGAAGTCAAAACTTCCTCGATTTTGTTTTATTTTTTTTGCAATGGTTACTTGAGTGAAAAAAAATTGCGCTTTAGAAAAAAAAACGTTAATTACAAAATTAGGAATTCTAAACATTTGGAGTGCAGAATTTGCAAAACTTTTTTGAGTGCAGAAATGATTCTTATTGCGGTGTCATTTATAGTGATAAATCGAAATAACAGCTATTCATTTTGCAACTTGAACTAAATTAAAAAAAACTAATTTTCAGAAAATTGACCAAGTAAAAGAGTTTTGATTTTCTGCTTTACAATTTTTTGTCACGTTTCAACCTTCAATTCAGTGCCAATAATTATCATTTTAAGCTAAAATATTTTCAAATAACCTTGTTTTTTTTTGAACCCCTCCGCTGCATAAAAATGTGCAAAAAAACTGTTCTGATGAGATAAAAAGAAAAAATGTTTCCTGCTTCCTGCAAAAACATTGTATAACAAGGATGATAGAATTAGCTTCATTTTATATCAGGAAAAAGTTTTCAGTATAGCCGTGGAAAAAACTAAACGATTTTTCAGGGGAAAAGATGATGGAAAAATAACCAAAAATATGGACGCTTCTCAATTTTTATGATATTCTGAACTTGGAGCAAAGTAAAGTTTTGTTACTTGCTTTTGCCACTCATAACAATTCATTTTTCTTCCAAAAACAAAAACTCCTCGTATTCTGCTCTGCAGAGGGCTTTCAGATCACTTAGATCACTTAGACCCCATTCGTAGAATGAAGACGAAAAGATGGTCGTTTGGCATACAAACCCCTGAAGTCCCTTTCATTTTATCGGTGGCTTTCATAATCATCCAATAATTGTTAGTTTCCAGTCAAAAAACCTCTGCTTTGATAGTTTTCTATTCTCTTTGCACTTGATTCGCTCGCTTTTGATTTTCCAATGGTTTGTATTCGCATTGCAATGGCAATTGATTTGTCACATTCAAGCCTACTGGAACCTGATCTAAACTATATTTTATGATTGGATAAATTAAATGTTTTACCAATGTAAAGTATTTAATATTAACCAATCATGATCCATCTAACTAACAACCCACTTATTTGTAAGTGCTGAAGTTACTTGTAATTTCAGCACCAGAGAGATTTGAATTTAACTTAGAAATTAGTTGGACTCTCCCGAGCACTTCAGCAGCCGCAATAAACCAGTATACCCTAGATCTATTGAGCCTAGCAGAGACTAGTTAAACAACCTGAGACTAGATAGTATAAGAGTAAGATTAGGATCGGTATTAGACTAAGAAGTTGCACGAATCTATCCGGCCGAAAATAAGATAGCGTGACGAGCAGACGGTGTACCCTATCCGAAATTACTCTATGAGTTATACACTCCAGTCTTAACTCATCTGGTGCGACCATAAGTCTCGAACAAGACCTTACTAGATTGGAATTAACCAAAAATAGATTAGAAATTAGACAAAAACATTTAAAAAATGTTATACGACAATAATTTAATTGAAATGTCTCTCCGACTCAATAGATCAGAGCCAATATTCCGAACCATAATAGAACTACCCGGAATTGGAAGAAGACATCGAACCAAAGACGACATACGACAAAGTAGAAACTTGCCGTATAGTTATATGATAGTTCGGCAAAAGCCAGAACAAACTTTTATATTTCGAATACTACTTGCAATGAATTTAGATTTCCATTTGCAAACATAAAACCTTGAAGTTAATCTTCAAAATCATTTCAGGCGCTAAACAAAATTATTAATATACAATAACGATTGATAAAAAGATCTAAGATCGTTTTCCTAAAATTCTGCAGTAATATACAAAACATGTTTGAAAAATATTTATTGGAAAATAAAAATAAAAATTAGAAGCATGACAATAAATGGTTAGTAATCATAAATCATCTTGTTGTTCCAGCTTCATCACCTAAAACATAACAGCAATCATCAACTCACTAATATCATCAAAACACTAAATCTTTCCTTTACACAAATTTAAAACTTTATTAAAACTTAAGTCACTTAATTTTAAAACCAGATCATCAAGGCTTATCCTTGGATCTTAAATCATTTTCTACTTAATTAAATTTCAAACTTGATCATCAAGGCTTATCCTTGGATCAAACAGAACAACTTTGTTCTCCCCCACCCACTTAATTAGTGTCTAACGACCTCAAACGTCGATTCACTACCCAACCCTTTCTAAAGACCTAAGACTAATAGAAATTTTTAAACAAAACTAATCATTCAAATTAGGATAAACAGTGAAGAACTTCGGTTATTCATCCTTCACTTGACCCCCCCTCTTACCAGACCCAGGATAAATCTTAGACTTAGTAAGTTTAAAATAGTATCTAACGAACTACTCGCGTTCTAATTATACCTGAACCTTGTGGATCGATTTACTATTCTCCAACCCTTGAACACAATCACTACCCCTAAGTAAGATTAAGTAAGTTAACACCTTAGCTTATACTAGTCACGAGAAAGTAAAAATCATTCTTCGGAATCGATATACTTTTCTCTCCAACCCTGAACAAATAGACCCAGGTTAAGCTAACCAAAAAATCGTAAGAACTAACAGTTTAGGAAAATAGAAATCATTTAACAACCTTTGCATCCGTCATTCTAAACCTTATGTCATTTAAAAACCTAGGAAATAAACAAACAATCATTTTACACAATTGTGAAATAGATAACAAAAAATACGACCTTGTAATCACACCTCATACACAAACAGTTGGATACATTCGCACAAAACGACAAACACTAAAGAGGAAAATAATAACTAAACAAAGACAAATAACACGAAAAAGATTTTCAAAAAATCGAAACGCATTTTCAGAATCAGAAACCAACAGTTTAGACGAACTTTACAAATTAAAAGAATCAATAGATAAAAATTACCCACAACACGATCAATTATATTTTTCTGACTCAGAAACAACTTCAAATTCATCACAAAGAGGAAAAAGAAGAATAAAAAAGCAGTATAAACACAAACCAGTACATCTATACAATTGGAATCAACCAATTCGACACATTAATAATTACATATTAACAGTCATCGAACGAAAAAATGAGTTCAACACACACCCCAGGTGACGAAACTCCAGATGATGATGAAATCTTTCCTTTTATAGTAGATGCAGATACTGATAGAGGACAACACATATTTTGTCAAAATTTACTCGTAAATTTATTTGAACCCGGAATCAGCCCATGTAAAACAGAGTTCCCCGATGTAAAAATCAAAAGACAAATCATAGATCACTATCTAAAAGATATATGCAACATAACACAACAGTATGGAATCTACTCTATAGAATTCACCTCACCAAACCATAATAATAGAACATATACAATTCAAACAGACGATCTTGATTTAGAATTTTCAAAAGTTTTTTCAGAATATATAAAAAGCATCCAATACCATAACTCACAAAGAGCAAACTCCATTTTCACCAATGAAGTTTTCGCAATAATATATAGTTATATTTCGATATTAGAAAATGAACTCCCATTAACAAATGTCTCACCGACAGAAACATCTAAACATTTAAGAGTACGACATGAAATTACACTACTCTCTAGTTATTTAAACATCATTAAAGAAAATTTCACGAAAGACGACGTTTCACAACATACCAAACACGATTTACAAAAAATTTTGGCATGGTTCATAATAGATTATTTCACACACAATATTGATTTAATTGCACAAGCAAGAAAAAATTTTAGACCCCAAAATTCGAACGATGATACCGCTATCACAGAACAATCAGATTATGTTTGGGACCCCGAATGGTCTCATCCCGCATTTATAAGCTTTCCACAATCAATCTCAAGTCAAGCAATAGGTACAATATCTTACATAAGAGATTATGTAAGAGTAATACCATTAACAATTGATGCAACACCATTAAACTATAATACATTTTTACCCGATACACAAAATAATAGTTTAAACTCGACAGTCATACACAACGAAAACCTCAATGGAACTAGGAATCTTACTCAACAAGATATCCAGACACCATCACACTTCATAAATGAAGAAATTGTACACACAACAACTACACAACAAAGTATTTCACCAATACGCCCAAATTTAACAACACCAAGAAATACAAATCCTTCACAAACACAGGTAACCTTACAATCAACCGTTAAACCTTCGGTTGCCCCTAAATATTCCCATATGGATTACCAAACATACAGACCCATGACAATACCATCAAAAACACGCAAAACATTCACTAGAAACAACTTTGCAGACCATAATTATAATTATACACATCCATCAAAAACATATAATCAACCACAAAGAAATTTTAACCAATATACAAGATCTCGAAATTGGGATAACCCAATGGCCCAACCTAATTCAACAAATTTCCAAACAAATCCTCCACGGGATCACAGTGAAAATTACCCATTTTTTCAACAAAATAAAAATAAAAAACAGACATCTTATCAAATGGATTATTTATCCTCAGATGATGATTTCTTACAACCAGATATATTTGCACAAAATACTCAAGAATATCGTAGACAAGGAATACAGAAAACACGTACAA